CAGTTTGTCACAGCCCCTCGTTTGTTGTCCTCTTCTCTCTCTCTGCCTACGGTTTACCGGGCAGTTCTGTTTGTGACGATATTCTGTTTGTGACGATATATATGTGACGATATATATATATATATATATTTGTGACGATATATAGATGTATGATGAGATATACCAAGGAGCAAGTTTGAAGAAGCAGCTTAAGAGTCTGCCAAGTGTCATCAGTCCCATTTTTCAAATGATTGCCAAGTGTCAGTTTCTGTTCATCAAATATGAGGAAAGTAAAAAAAAACAAAAAGTCATTCAATCAATCAATGCAACCTGTTTTTTTCATGCAAATCGGACGATTCCAATTTCCATTTTCGAATTTATCTACAAGTGCCTGGGTAGCTAAACACTAACTGAACAGTAAATAAATAAATAATTTGAAATAATAAAATAATAAAATAATAAATAAGTAAATAAGTAAATAATTAAAATAAATAAATAAATAGATAAATAGAGCAAGGCTAACGGAGCAGCCCGACAGGACAACGCTAACGGCATGGAACAACAGCACAAGCGGAGATGCAGCAAGGCAATAACATAGAAACACACAAGGCAGTGCTGGCTCAGCTGCCAAACTACGGAGCACACAAGCAAAATGCAAAGACAAGGCACGAGGATGGGCAGCAAGGAAGCAATGCAGCGACGCGCAAAGCGACACCGACAAGGCGACCAAAGCCCGACTACTTAATGCTAACGGCAAGGAACAACAGCGGAAGCGGACGGGCAACAAGGCAACAACACAGCAACACGGAAGGCAGTGCTCACCCAGCAGCCAAACTACACAGCACACGAGCAAAATGCACGGCAAGACAAGGCACGAGGATGGGCAGCAAGGCAGCAATGCAGCGAGGCGCAAAGTGACACCGACAAGGCGACCAAACAAAAAAACACGGCAAACAGACAGACTGCAGGGAAAGGCATGGCAAGCGGTTTTACGCCGGCACGAAAGAAGCCGATGAGAATTGCTAGGTTATCAAAGGGCCAGGTCTGAAAGGGGGGTCACTCACACTGGCCAAATGCGAGCGAGACGCAGCCAGGCGCGGGCAGCAAGGCAGCAGACAGACGAGGCAACCAAACTACACGGTGGTGTCGCGCTCGCCACGAAAAACAGACAAGCTGCAGGAAAAGAGGTATGGCAAGCGGGTGGGCAGCAAGGCAGCGGAGGAGCACAGAACGGACAAGGCAGTCCACACATCCAGCACGGACCAAAGCAGTTCATCACCTACTCACACCACAAGTTGAGCCCCACAGACTGTTGGTTCCCACCACCTGCTGAGCCACGGAGGCACTCCAATAAACATCTGTCATAAAAGCCATAATCAAACTGTACCCACAGACATCTCGAACTGAGCGGCCCCCCAATTACTGTTACAAACAGGCACTCCTAACAGCCCGCCACTGACTATTTATCATTTCTTAGAGGTGCTCACTTAGACGCGCATGAACCACTAAGAAGAAAAGACATACATAAAACTGATTTTGTGTATGTGTGTGTGTGTGTGTGTGTGGCTGATGTGTGTGTGTGTGTGTCTGTGCTGATGTGTGTGTGGGGGGGGGGGGGGAGGTGTTTGGGTNNTGTGTGTGTGTGTGTGCGTGTGTGGGTGCTGATGTGTGTGTGTGTGTGTGCGTGTGTGTGTGTGTGTGTGTGTGTGTTTTGGGGAGGGGAGGAATGGAGTGGTGTGTTATGCACGATTGCTATAGTGTTTGGGATTTCTAGGGCCAGCAATTGGGTTGACGTTGTTGCGCTCGGCATCTCGGCCAGAAACCGCCTCCCTTTTCTTGACCCTTTCCTTGGGGCTAAGTGCATGTAGTCAGGCTGGCTTCATTGTCAATTTCCAGGTGAGAAAAATACCCCTCTGAGGCTCTGACTCTAACCCCTAACCCCTAACCCCTAACCCCTAACCCCTAATCTTTGAACGCCTTAATCTCAAACCCCTAAACCCCGAACTTCGAAACATGAGTGGTCAAGGTGATCCACCACCTCCTCGTCCTCCTCCTCCTCCACCTCCTCTCTTATCACTCGTTCTACTTCTTGCTAGTTGCCATTGAAGGCATGATCGCCAATTTGAGTTTTTGGTTTTGCATCGTGAATGAGCCAGGTTCGTTGCACGATTGCTGTTTGTTGTCACTACTACTCTGACTACTACTTTTTTTCGCGTTTTTCCAAACTGGGTAATTTAATTTGGGATAATTTGCAAAATAGTAAAATACCTTCATAAGTTGAGATATATGCCAAAATGCCCCTGAAAGATGTGTGTAGAGCGGAATGCCCTTTTGGGCCGAAATCTTTGTGGTGTGCCCCTGTCAGGCGGGTGTGCAATTTTGCAATCTGGACCTCCCCGTTTGGGCCTTGGCCTTTTGCAATAGCGCCTCCTAGGAGAAGTTGGCAAGTACTGGGTCATTTTGCAAAGTTGGACGGTACCCGGTAGGGGTATATTGCAAAGATGAGGGTCCAACCGGTGCCAGGGGTATTTCACAAAATATTTTTTTTTGTCAGAGGGGCATTCCGCTCTACCCACATCTGTTAGGGACATTTTGGCATGTATCTCAACTTATGGGGGTATTTTGCAAATTATCCCATTTAATTTAAATGATTAAATATTATTTACCTAGGCTACCAGCCGGGCCGCCTGGGTCACAGGTGGCTAGCCCGTGCAAGGAGGTCCCATCAAAAAAAAAAAAAAAAAAAAAATCCAAAAAATCCGAAAACAAACTATGTTATGAAGAAAAATAAGCTGAACAGCGTTTGCCTCAGGGTCACGTCGAAATTCTTCACCAAAATTAAAATAAAAATTAAAAATTAAAAATATATATATATATATATTTTTTGGCCCGGCCGGGCAAGTGACCCCGGGCCACTCTGGTAGCCTAGTTATTTACTAAATTCAGGTGTCTGCCGATTTCGTCGGATGTGATATCCAGCATCTGTCTGTCTGATTTCCTGGCCACTCGAACAATAGAAAAAAGGGCGATCCCTTATTCTCTGTCGCTTTTGCCTATGCTTCCCTCCCTGTCAATCAGTGCTTGCTGTACTCAGACCCCAATAGCTGGGAGATGTGCTCAATGTGCATGAATAACCGACCAAAGGATTTAATTCGCTGCCGGCCTGGTAACCTGTACTGAAGCGATCTGGTTTTGGGACAGAGAGTCAGTACATCCCCCCCCCTCTCCTTTCCACCCCCAACTCAGCCATCCTAGTCTTTCCATCAAGATGATCTGTTTCCTGGTGCTGCTGGGGAAAGTAAGTCTGTGAACCTGGGCCATATGGAAGGGGAGGTGCATTCAGACGATCGACAAAGTCTTAACAACGAGAGAGGAGGCTTGGGCTCAACCCATTGGAATGGCAGAGACTGAAATCCGCCGCGGATGGCAAACACTCATGGAAGGAGCAAATGATTGTCGAGGATAAAGTTCGTGACGTGGTTACAATCAGGATGTTCGGATTGCAGTGCGGACGGTCCGGGTCTGAATATTTACGGGTCCGGTGTGACGTCCAGACATCCAGATCCTCCACCACCACTCCCTCAAAAAGAAAAAAACGACGTAAAAAATAAAAATAATAATAATAATAAAATCTTACTGAGATGGAAAGCTGGGACAAAGCAGCCCTAACGATAAGGCGTTGATTCAAATTAACAGAAGGGGTACACCCGTGCTGGAACACTGAAGGAAGTTCGGAAAGAAAAAAAGAAAAAAAGAAGAAGAAGAAGAAGAAGAAGTGACTATCAAGGGCAACAGGATGCAAAGGAAAGAATGGGACTAACGCCGGCAGAACTGGCATCGACCATCGTTCGTTTGGATTGCTGGACTGGAAGCAGCCCTAAAAGCCTTTGACGTTAACCAAGCCGGAAAAGAATCTTAAACCGCCAGCGCACGGCCCCAGCCTTGCTGAAAAGGAACTTGTCGCCTATCCGGAAAAGTCGGCGCCGGTCCACCGTCGATAAAAGAAATTGGCAGCCGGCGTCGCTTTTCAGCCTCTGACACGGCCCCGTGGCCGATGCAAGGCGTGTACTGGTGGTTCCAAAGACGGCAAATTGATATGCGTGTCCTTGTGCTGGTATTCATGCTGGATGTCGTACGAGTGAAGTTGTAAATCATGGTTCAATCATCTATGGCTTCTGAGAGAAGTTCTGAGTCTTCTGACAGCCGATCCTCGATCACGTGGACTAATCAATGGTGGTCAGAGTTGCTTCGGCCATAGCCGCCATACAGAAGGAAGCGCTGTTGAGGATGTTTTTTTTGCATGTATGCTGTCTGAATTGCCGGGGGAAAAAAGAACGGAACGGGAGTTCTTTTGGTCCTGGATTTATGTTCCCTCCCTGCATGGATAAGAAGTCCAGGACCATTAGGAGTCCTTATGGTTCTTATGGTCCTTATGGTCCTGGATTCTCCTTTTGGTCCTTATGGTCCTGGATTCTCCTTTTGGTCCTTATGGTCCTGGATTGTCCTTATGGGCCTTATGGTCCTGGATTGTACTTATGGTCCTTATGGTCCGGGATTGTACTTATGGCCCTGGATTGTACTTATGGTCATGGACTGTACTTATGGTCCTTGTGGTCCTGGATTCTCCTTGTGGTCCTTATGGTATGGTCCTTATGGTCCTGGATTGTCCTTATGGTCCTGGATTGTCCCTATGGTACTTATAGTCCTTATGGTCCTGGATTGTCCTGAAATGTCCTTATGGTCCTTATGGTCCTTATGGTCCTTATCGTCCTTATTGTCCTTATGGTCCTGGATTGATGTTCCCCATAATGGATAAGGATTCCAGGACCATAAGGACCCGTGGACCTTTTTTCTTTTGAAGGAAAAGGAAAAAAAAAAGGTTCGAATTTCAAGATTACGAAAACTTTCAATTTGTTGTTTGATAGTATTAAAAGAAGAGGTACTACAGGAGTGTACCTGTTAGCAAAGAGAGGTCAGAAGCTCGAATCCTGATGGAATCAGTGGAATACAATATTGTTAGGGGCTATTCCCCCTTGACAAGGCCAAACACATGTCTTGGGGTAGACACGACACCACTAGAAAAGGTCGAGCAATCAAAGAGAGGGGACAGATTCAACAGAGGGCGAAACGTTTTACTCAGTTTGTTCAGAGCACTTTGCCTATTCTAGTTTGTCAATTCTGCCTTGTCTATTCTTCCTTGTCAATTCTACTTTGTCTATTCTGCCTTGTCTATTCTACGTTGTGGGCAACTTTGTCCCTTGTACCTTGTCTATTCAGCTTATCTATTCTTGTCTTGTCTATTCTACCTCGTTTATTCTACTTTGTCCATTCTAATTTGTCTATTCTACCTTGTCTATTGCTTTGCTGCAGGACCTGGGCCCAAAGCATGCGGGATTGCTTCACGGTGAGTTCTTCAAACACAGGAACAACTACGTTTCTTCTGTGTCCTGTCTCTTTCTTTCTTTCTTTCTTTTTTAATTTAATTTATTTATTTTTAAAAAGAAAATCCACCCGTGTTGTTTCATGATGCCTGACTGCTTGCTTTTGTCTGCATGTGACACCGACATTCTGCTTAAATTCAGAAGGTCTCTTTATTTCCAAAGGGGAGGCACACGATTGTCCCCTTTCCCTGGTTAAAGCTCAAAGCAACCAAAGGTACCAAACCTATGAGTTGGCATTGTGTGTGTGTGTGTGTGTGCGTGTGCGTGTGTGTGCGTGTGCGTGTGTGTGTGTGTGTGTGTGTGTGTGTGTGTGTGTTTCTCACTGTTTGAGGTGTGTGTGCACTAAGGCACGCCAAGGTACGATACATCAGTGCTCATACCTGAAGAGCTCTGACGAAGTGTGTTCGGACGAACTGTGTCGGGCCACCTTGAGTAAGAAACACGGGCAGGAGTGACATGACACAGCAGCAGCAGAGCACATATCGTTTCCAAGGCGGATACTTGTAGGCGTCGGACGGATGCATCCGGTAGTGGAAGGTAGGGAATGAATATGTGTGCACCTTAAGAGCAGCAGCACCTTCAGGTCATCGGACTCCGGGTGGGGCAGATGCATCCGGTAATGGAAGGTAGGGAATGACTATGCCGCGATAATGCCGGAGTATAAGAGCAGCACCTGTGGTTCGAATGCTGGTTGTGAAAGAACCGGAGCACGCCCAGCAAAACACCACAAACAACCACAAAAAATGGGGAGAAGGCAAAGAACAGTGAGACAAAGAGCAGGTAGGCAAAACCATTGGACGACAAACCGCAACAAGGCACATGGACTTGAGGACACGGGGAAGGAACACTTGCGCACGTGGCTTCTTGGCCAGTTCCACGACGCTCCCGCCACCGGACACTTTGGAGTCAATTGTACGATTGGCCGATTTCGCGAGCGCTTTTGGTGGCCTGGCCTTCTCGGCGACGTCACACGCTATTGCGAGTCATGCGAGGTTTGCCGACATTGCAAATCCCGCAATCATCGTCCGTTCGGGGAGTTGCGGCCATTACCGGTCCCCTTAGGACGACGGGAATCGATTGCCATGGACATCACCGGGCCGTTTCCCAAGCGCAAAACTGGTGTGGATGAGATTCTCACGGTGGTCGATCGACTCACCAAGTTCGCCATGTTTTTGCCTTGTCGATATCACGCCAAGGCACCGGAGTTGGTCGAGGTTCTTTACGCCGGCTGGATTCGCACCAAGGGTACCCCAAGGAGATTGTTTGAGGCCGTGACACTCGGTTCATGTCCGACTTTTGGGTTGGTCTCCTCAAACGATAGGGCTCATCTCTCAAGCCGAGTTCGGCTCGCTACCCGCAGACCGATGCACACTCTCATGTGACGAACCGATTTCTGTTCCGCACGATTTTCTGCGCGATGACAATGAGGGGTCCTAAGCTGGGAAGGATGGGCCAATTACGGGAGATCGGGATTGAAGGGAAATTGCATCAGTGTCCTCGCTTCTTCGTCTTTTTGCATCGTCTCTTTTCAGATGGCTGGGTTCAGGCCCGGGCAAGTCCCGGGGATGATTGATGGGTGATGCGCCGCCGCAAGCGCGCGAATAATATTAGTTGACGTCGTTCCTTTTCGTTTTCTGTTGTTGGATTTTAGGCGTGGAGACTGCGTGGGAATTTTTGCTTCGTTATTTTTGAATTCCCTTTTTGAATCTTGTCGAGCCCCAATGGCTCTCGGAATTTCAGACTTTCTTTTCGGAAATTGTGCTTTTCGTTTTTCTGCATTAATAGGAATTTACTAGGCTGGGCCGCCGCCCGGCCAGGCGTGCCCGGCCGGGCGGGCCCGGGGGGGTCCGCCCGG